GCTGCTCCCCAGGCCCCAGGCAGAGCTCCATGCACTCCAGCTGGTCATTGACATGACACCCCCTAATTTAACTTACAAGCCATTCACAAATATGTTTATTGTATTCCAACACTCCAGTCATGGGAGCCATCCCACCATGTCTCCGTGATGCCAATAAGGTCATACCCCTGCAGGCGTGCGCACGTCTCTAACTCCTCTTGTTTATTCCCCATGCTACGTGCGTTTGCATAGAGGCATTTAAGTTGCCCCCCCCCAAACTCCTTAGTTCACCCTCTTGTGCCTTGACATTATATCATTTCCTAGCTTGAAAACACTTGAAAACAATAAGGAGGCATGACCAGGAGCTTTAGGAACTGAATGCCATCTTCAGTAGATTAGTTTCCTTTTTTTGCATCTCAGATGTCACACATATCTATCTTCTAAGCCCCACACATGAGAAGAGTACAGTACGTAAAGGCTACTATATCAGGATTGCTCACTGTTTGACTTCCTAAAATTCCTGTTGTTTCCATAACTAATTTTGTTTTTAAATCTTGTGTTCTTCTGCGAAGCACAAACCTCTGCTGAATAGAACATCTTCATTCACAAAAATCAGAAAGACGCATTCCAACTTCCAACCCACCAGTTCTTGATTTTGATTCAATATGATAATCACAATCTGAGTTCATATTTAGATATTCAGATCCTATAGTAATGACAGTCATGGGAAAAAAGTAAAGCCTAGTGCAGAAAAAAACCTTTATGATTTCACATTAAATTAAGACAACAGAGGTTATTGGTTAATTAAGTTTCTTTGACAAGGGAAGTTGTTTATATAGGGCAACAGCCTGTAAATACGCAGAGTTTTGCACATTTTACAAAGCACTTTTACAGACATAATTCTGCATGCCAACAAGAAGCTATAATTTTCTATTCTGTTCTCAATATTTGAGTAAGTTGCATATAACTGCATTGAGTGCTACCTCGACATTGCAATGTAACTCCCCCAGTCAATTCCTTACCGAAAAGGGGTAAGCGTGCCTATCAGTGGTTATGGCTATTTATACCCCCTGTATGCCCAGTCCTGAAAACTGTACAAACATGTGCCTGACATCAGTCATGTAAGTGGGGCTATTAACTTCTTTGCAGTTAAGCACAGGCTGAAGTACTGGTCTGAGAAAGAACTCATTACCCTAAAAATTATGTAGCAAGAACTCTAATCTTTATCATGATTTATGTTTTAGGCAGCTGAGCTGGTAACCAGTGAGTTCTTTGAACAAGGAGACAGAGAAAGATCTGAACTCAAACTCACGCCTTCAGTAAGTTTTTATCACTTCTGAAATAGTTACTAACTCGAATAGGGTAAGAAAATGTCATTGGGTTCATTCAGAAAAAATAACTGTATTTTGTATGTAAAGAAAAATCTTGGAATAAATAAAAGCTCTGTCCAATAAAGGACATGCATTTAGAGCCATATATAAAAGCTCTCCAGTCAACTCAGTCACTTTTGCATTGAGCCCTTCTCCCCATTTTCTGTACCTATTCCCAAGGTTATTCTGTCAGTTAATTCTCTAAGCAACAGGTACTCTTTTTAATACACAGTATTCAAATAAAAAATCACCAGCTACTTAGGGAAATCAAAACTGTCAGATTTATTTTATGCTGCAGCTGTGTCCATCTGTGTTATCTGATGTATCAAATGCTGAAAAGCATTTCTATAGGTATATGACTAAATGTAACACTGGGATTGAAAGGATAAATTGGTATTGAGTGGAATATAGGCAGATGGGTATAAAGTATCAAACAAGAACTAAGAAAAAAGTTACATAAAGATTTTCAATGAACAATTTGAGGACAAAGCCTTATCCAGGTTAAATACCTCAAAATGTTGACAGGCCATTATCTGGAGGCAACAGGAGAAGGGTAACAGAAAGTATCCTAAAGAATTTAACTTACAAGCCATTCACAAATATGCTTATGCTTCCAAAAATAAAAAGACCATTCCAGTGGCTCAGACTTGTTCTCACTTTGATAATATTCACACATGAGCCTGTGGTGATGTAATGAAGTCAATATAGTTAAAAAGTTTGTAGTAAACAATGCTCAGATACAATAAATGGCTTTTCACTTTGTATACTGTCAGAGGTTGGGACATTAATGGATTTCTTTCCTATAGTAGTTCTGTGTGTACATCTCAGAAAAAATGGTAGCTATAGTCCAGTAGAAGAGTAATCAGTCAGTCATGGTATTCACAATTCTGAGACCAAATCTAGACCTGAATAACTGCAAGTACCATTCCATATAATATGGTATAAGTGCCTTTCCTGCCTTGTATATGAAATTTGCAAAATGTGTTTCTCATGCTATTGAAGCATAATAGGAAGTAATTTTATTTCAACACATACATTAATGTTACAGTCTTCAAGTAGCAATGAATTCCAGTGCAAATGGCCCAGGTCCAGCAACCTTAAGAATTATTTTAAGGTGTGTTATTACATCTACATTTTGGACATACTGTAGACTTGGTAGAAGTGCAGAGAAAGACAAAAGCCAGAGCTTTCTTCTGGACTCATGTCTTCTGAAAATCTGCATCCAACAGCCTAGACAGGTGGGATAGAAGAGCATATTGCTATAAATATCTTCAGTATTTCCTCCATCATAGGAGCACTCTGACTCTTCCTTTGGGCTGTACAGTCTGCACCAAGGAATACAGTAATTTGTGGGCCACATGTAGGATGCTTTGAAGCCATACAGCTTGAAAGAAGATTTTCCTCTCTGGCTCTTCACAATTTCAAAGAATCCAGTAAACTGATGTATTAAGTGTTTTATGTTAGGAGATAAGGCCAGGAAATAATCACAAAGTTCATCCCTTCTAATAGTTGATGGCTAAGGGTCAAAATCATGTAGAGTTTTACCACATTAATGAGGAATTTTTAAACAAGATCAAATGCTGATGTATTTCATGACATATCGCTATGACAAGCCACCCAGATAGGTATTGCTGCTAGTTAGATAAGAGAGTTGTTAGTCAGCAAGATAATGTGATATTCTCTTATCTTACAAATCAAGGATTTTTTTCTTGTGTTGTCCTTATAACAATCTGAAAATTACAGGATTTTTCAAAATTATTTGAATAGGAAATACAGAATCCTCCAAAATCAAACCCAAGATTCTCATTTAAGATCACAGAGTCCTTGAATCTTACCTCCTGGTCTTATTTAGATACATTGTGTGATACCTGTTTATGTCAGAAAGAGCAGGCTACAACTAGAAGAATTCAGCCAGACATTTAATGTAATGTAATATGTATAGTCTGGAGTTTCTAGAAGGTACAGAAGGAAAGTAAGTTTTCTCAGGAGACATCAGCCTTGAGGACATGGGCCCAGAATAAGAACAGACTTTCCACAGAAAAAGACAGAAAGATTTAAAACTTGGCATATTCAGAGAGTTAAAAAAGGCATTTGGTAAATGGTATGGATGACCATTAGAAGGAGGATTAAAATCCTGTAGACGGAAAGCTGATGGACCCAAGTAATGTCAGGCAGGGTATGAAGGAAACTCAACTCACGTTCAAACTCTTCAGAACTCTGTTTCTTCCATCTCCTTTCAGCCAACAATTGAGCCTCTTAAATATCAGCTTCAACTTCTATAATCTCCTCTCTGGGGGAGTGCCGTGAGCAGTGAATTAGGCTGCTTCCAGTGGAACAAATTGATAACTGCTCCCAAAACGGATACGTTGATTCTCCGCCCTTTGGATTCACAGACATGGCTGGTTCTGCAGAAAGGGTCTATAACTAGGAGGGAGGGAGCCAGCCCAGATCCATCACTGTTCATTTTGCCGAGCTGGAAAACCCTATGTGAGAAAAGGGAAATTTCTACTCAAAGGTATCCGCTTTACATTTCTACAGGAGGTTTCTTACCAGCTCAACTCCAACTGCGGAGCATTTCTTTTACATCACAGAATTATAAAATTCAAATACATTCAGCCTACAAATTTCAAAACAGAATTGAAAATAAACAGTTTATTTTTCATGCCAGACAAAGCAGTAGGGAGACTGCTGCAAAGATTGATTACGGTTTACAAGGTGTTCTGGTTGTGAGAATTTGATCATAGCTCCGAAGTGCCGGATGATGTGTCTGTAAAATACTCCAGTGTAATAAAGCATGACAGTTTTGTTCCCTTCTCAATTCAGGCCATTTTTGATCGGAACAGGAAAGATGAACTACCCAGGTTGCAGCTCGAGTGGATTGATAGCATCTGCATGCCATTATATGAGGTAATTTTTACTTACTGCTCCTGTAGAGTCCAGAGAAGACTTGAAGGCTGTTTGCACTCTTATCTTTCTTTGACTTTACCGAAAGTCTGAATTCTATCCAGAAATCTTCAGATTCCCTGAAGGTGGTGGTAATATCTGTAAACATAATTCCTCTCTAAGTTATAAAAGCTGATAGGGCAACTGTTTATTTTATTATGTTTGAGACAAACTGATTCTCATCATGGCAAGGTGTGGAGTGCTCTGCAGAGAGGTGCCAGAGGGACGACCTTGTTAGGTGCTGCTGTCAGGCCTGTCTGAATATGTGTGACCCAAAGGGAAGCTCAAGGCTGAGCCTTTGCACTCCCTTCTGGCTCCTTTCCAAACTGTTAAGGGGCACTGTAGGCCAAGCCTTTAAGGTCAGTGACAAATGATTTGAGGTTTAACCTGTGTGCTGTTTAACTTGGAGTTCATTCTTTTAATCGTGCTTCTACACAAACTGCATGGGTGCTTGGTATAAGATGTATAAGCTCTCAAGTACTACTTTATTAGGGCTATAGATGACCAGAATAATGCTTCTCTCTTTTTGGATTAAACCAGCTTCAGAATTTGACTTGTGTAACATAAGCATCACCGTTTTAACTTTTTCTCTCTTCTATGTATAGAAAGCAGAGATAGACAAGCAGGATGATAAATGGAAAATAACACTATAGAAACTTAACCATCAATAACTGTGTCAGCCAGTCTTCCTCCTACTCACTGAAACCACACAGACTGCCTTATGCCACTAAAGACTGCCATTTGGGCCACTGGTATCTGAGAAAACGTGGGGATGTTCTCACTAGGTATTTTTTGGGAACTGCAACAAGTTCTCCCTGTTACCACTGCACCCCAAACTGCCTCACATCTCTGAGCAATGAATGAGTCAGTGATGACACGAAGCCAAGAGCTGGGAAGCAGGTACCAGCTGCCATGTTAACATTAAACTGTTGAACTTCTGCCTGAATGTAGCTTCCCTACACACACACAATAATGGAGTAGCAGTTCCTTTTCATTTTACAGACCAGATGTGTCACCAATAGCAAATGAGGCAAGAAGGATGATGTGCTTCCCCTGCCCTCTATACCTTGTAGCATCTGAGGCTGCCACTGTGGCAATAATGAAGTGACTGCCCAGCAGCAAAAGCAACTCGTGTTGTGTGACATGGACAACATGCGCTTGTGTAAACAGCGAGATGGGCTACTGCTTTACCAGTAGATCCTGTCCCTTTCTTAGGTCAGTCTTTGTCATGATGAAATAAACTAAATCTATGGCTTTCAAACAATTAAGGCAAAGCAAGCACAGAAGATAATAAACCTGTATTTTTTAAAATAGCGAGATCATTTTGGACAATATGGGCCAGGGGGGAACTGACCTTGGACGAAAACTCTTTAAAAATAATGTTCCTTTCTATGTAATAGTTCATGTTACACTAGAATGCATATTATACCAGAATTCATGGTTTGTAATAGCATCTGTAATCCAAAAATGTACAATAAAGCAGGAAGAGCTGACAATCGTACCGTCCTCTGCATGAGAAGACTACATCTGAGCACTAAAGCTCTGGTTAGTTAGCTCCATCTTAGCAGGAGATCTCTGGGGAATATATTCACATCTGATTTCCCTGCTTTCTGCTGTCTTTGCATCATGCTGTGCAGCTATTAGCCTGCTGCTCAACAACTTAGAAAAGAGACACCATCAAACCTGGAAGTCATTGCAACACCAGCCTTAGGGGTAAACAGAAAACTTGATGTCATCGTATCACACTGCGGGAGATTCTCTCTTCAATATGAAGCCAAGTTTTAATTTTCATATCCAGCTTAATCAAACCTCAATACACATATCACAGCAGTGTATTCAGGCATTGTAAATCCTCCATTTAGGGCTGGCTGAACACTACAACTATGGCCAAGTCCTAGATTTCTTTTTCTTTCCAAATACATTCTTTAAAATTCTAGCCATTGTAATACGTTGTAGGGACTGCATGTGGGGATAGAATGGGTTACATCATTACAAATGCAACATAAAGAGGCAGAGTGGCAGCTGACAAATTAGTAAAATCTTAGCGGTACTTATATAGCTCACTAGCATAGTGCTTATAAAAACCGTATGTTTGACATAAACATTTGACACATTGTGATACCAAAATTACAACATTAAGCCGTAGAGAACAAAATCAAGGCTTTCGCATGTAATTTTTTCCATGCTAGTGATTAGAAGTCCTGAATCCGTGTGCGCAGATCCTAGCATCCAGAGCCCTGAAGGGACCTCTGTGAGGAATGCGTGCGTCCATACCAACGCAGTTGCTACAGCAGGACCTAATGCTGTGCTCTGTTTTATTTGACACCCACGCAGTAGAGATGGTCCCAGCAACCAGTGAATGCTGGCAACTCCCATTAAAGTCAGACAGGAGATCAGCAGAACCCCCTGAAATTTTCTTTGCTCACAGTAGTTCCCAAGAGTGAGCTATTCTTGGCAGCTGCGGATGTCTGAAGTATGCAATGCGGAAGGAACTTCACAGCCAAAACTTCCAGGAGTGGTCTGACACCACCCCAGTGCCACTGACAGTACTATAACAAACCATATCTTCTCCACAGTCGAAGCTTATGAGTTAGGCTACATGCCAGAGTGCCCACGAGGAATGTTTCATACTTAAAACAGTATATAAACTTTGCAGAGCATTTTAGAGACTTGCGGCCTTCCTAGCTTTATTTTTTTTTTCTGTTCTGAAACATTCTTTGGGACTTGATCAGTCTTCTGGGGAGATTTGGCTCCACTTCCTCCTTATGCATCTGCTCTGCTCGCTGCATTTCCTTAAGGTAGCTCAAGAAACCCCCCTTTGAGGTGCAGTTCTTCTTCCAAGTAAAAGATAATGAAGTCTCCTTTATTGGGGGATGTGTATCACGTGCCTCTGCTTACCTGGCTGGAACTGTTTTCTGAGTTTGGCCCCTTTTTGTGAGAAGGTTTACAGGTGACTAGCAAATCCTCAAGATCTGTGCACCTTCCATTAGTAATCCTGTTTGACTGCCCCTTGGAATGCCCATCTGACCCGGAAGAAAGAAGGTTAAAGATATACAAAACATGCTACATCATAAGCTAATGTGGAGCTTGAAGCTAAATATAGATATATAATGATAGCTGGAGATATAAAAAAAAATGAGGAATTATACATAGCTAGATTTCCCATATCCAAGTGTCTAAATCCAAAACTTTTTTGTGTTTGCTCTGTAAGCCTGACTCTGCTCTTGGCACAAGGTAAGCCATGGCTCTGCTCCCTTGCTCTCTCCTACATCTGCTGCTCAATGTGGGAATCAAGCTACCTCCAATTTCAAAATACCTTAGTAATCAAATCTGTTTCCTTCACACTGTGGATCAAAGGTTTGTGAAGATAAAAGCTTCCCAATTTTTTTTGTTCGTTGCTTTTTATTACACTTGGGACATTATAATTTTATTGAATTTACTTTTTTGTTACTGTAGTGATCACTGATCAGAGTATTTTTATGTGACAGTGGAGTTTTTGCCTTGAGTAGCAGAACAGCCACCCATTTACTCTGAAGCTCTGATTTTAGGGGCTTTAGTCACACTTTACTGCATTTGCTGTTCATTCAAAAATGACAGCAAGAGAAGAGTTCATCAGTAGAGATGAGAAACAAGCTTATTAGAATAATAATTTATAGAAAAACACAATTTTTGGAACTGTAGAGCATTTCAAATCTACTAATGTAGCTTCAGTATGAAGTAATCATCCCCTTCTTTTTGGTAGAATATTCTATAAAGGCAAAGCACATGCAACTAAAGCAGAAAATCTAAGACATCCCGCTGAAAATAAAGCACTATGGCTACACTGACAGCTGTGTTCACCACACAGAGAAAGTATTATGTACCTATTTGGACATATATGTTCATGTAACAGGAAACAGAATTTTGATCGTTAAGACAAATTACCTCTCTGACTCTCCAGTAAAGAGATGCTAGGAGTTTCAACACTAACAGATTTCTCTCCTGGATTCTGTGGTTTGTGTGTACCTAAGATAGGATCAGTCACAGATTTTTCCCAACTCAGATTAGATTTCTCTGTGGGGAGCAGACAGAGTGGGAGAGTGAAGATCTTACTCTTTTTAATCATTATTTTTCTCACAAACAACATCAAAGCTTCAGCGATTCCCATCAAACAAAAGATGCTAACAGAAGCCCAGCTCTGTTCACAGCATTGTTAGGCAGAGACAGTAACGCTATGAATAGCAGGGCCAAAGGCCGTGCACTCTGCTTCTGGGCAGATAAATACATAGTCAGGTAGTCAGTGACGATGACAGCAGCTATTTAAATTTAAGGGAGATGTCTTTGTGGAAGATAAAGAAGCTCATGGCTTTTGCAACTTATGCGTGCCTGAGATTGCCCTGCTCACCTCTACCTTGGTGCTCCATTGAACTGCTCCATTTTAGTGCTATTTTTAGTGCTATTCAAGATTTTCTTGGGTATTGAGAGCATTAAACACATAATAGTATCTACAGAAGTGAATTTGCATTACTTCATCTAAGATTCTAGGGGGAATCTGGAAAGAGTAGAAACAGTTATGTTTAGCCTAGCAAGTACTTTAAATGTTTTGAACGGAATGTGCAGGGACAGAGTCCTTCTTTATCACATTGTTTGACGTACTTAGAAAGAAATCTAATCACTCTGTCTACGACTCCAAGAGCTCTGATATGCCTGTCTTCCTACAGAAGATAATGTCTGGCCTTGTAATTAAATCTATCTTTAGAGTATGATGATGTAGCTGCAAAAGCATCTATTCTGCTTGTAAGCATACGTTAAATGCACAGGTTATCATAAACGGTAGAGCCTCTACAAAGCATAGAAAAAATACACAGAAATCTCCAACCATCATGGCTACCTCTGTGCTTTAACTTCTCCAGTTCAAGAGTTGAGTTTGACACCTGAATTGGAAGAGGATATGCACACACAGTGATTTTTTTTACAAAGTGTGT